TACAGTGAAGGAGGAGATGCCTGAGGAGGTAGGAATGTTGGTCGAGATAGGGAAGAACTATTGTCACTGGTTAGTGGCCATGATGAGCTCGAGGACGGAAGAAAAGAGGTCACATACCTCGAAAGTATCATCAAACCCAGTACCAGCTCCTTGTACAGCGGCGGTATATGAGCATGACCCCGAAGCACAACCGCCGTTTCTGTCCTTCCAAGTCATCTTGACATTCTTGATATCACCAGAAGCCCGATTTGTCGTGCGAACCCTGATATACCCAGTCAACAGAAAACTGGAACCTCCAGAGTTCAGCGTCAGCTGCATATCAACAGGCTTGACCGCATAAGGAGCAATCGGATCCGTCAGCGTCACCCCTGACGGCACCGTGTCAATCATCTTCTGCAAAACCGTCCTGCAGACGTTCTTAAAAGTCTCAGCCGACGTCAACCCGTTCATCGTGGCGTTTCTATCGATGTTATACACCTTGAAGTCCGAGTGTCTATTCAGCGCCACAGCCGGACCAACCACCAACGGGTTCTGCGTCGTGCCCGAGACGTACTCGGTAACTACCTTGTTGTCAAAAACGGCATCGGTGATGTCGAGCGGCTTCTGACCGTTCGTTCCTGTGCCGGGCGGCACGATCTCGGGGAACTCTTCCGTGTGGACGCCGCCGAGGGTATGTCCGCATGCGGTAACCTGGATCATCTCCTCGGTGCTGAAGCCCATACGGTCGAATTGCTGCCTGAACGTTTCTGCCGAGTTTTGAGGTTGTGGGACGCCGGTGCTGCCGCTGGATGTGGCGTCTTTCCTGCCGAGCCGGAGGGGGATAATGGGACCTCCACAAGACCGGACGGAGGCGTAGACGCCGGCGGCAATGAGGTCGGACATGCTTGACTGTGATGAATAGTAGTTGGAATAGAATTTGAGGGTGGTATTGTGCCCTGGTCCGGTGTTCTCGCCGTTTGTAAGCTCGAATTGGAGTGAGGCGTCGAGGCCGCCGGTCTTGAAGACGCGGTTGTGGGTGGCCATGTCGCTGGATAATGTCAGCATGTGCGCCGAAAACAAATTATGCATTGGACTTTCAACAGAGCGTTGGCGATCTCATGCGAGATTCCATGGAACGCCTTTCGAGTGTCTTGGATGAGGACTTTATCCCGCTTCTCACACAAACCTCATCGCTCAAATATCTTGAAATGGCACATACTGGAATCCAACCCGCAACCACTCCGAAGCCGTTACCCTTCCAGGTCCAGCAGCCTCATTGTTGCAAGGAGTAATGATATCATTGAACAGCCTTCCCTTGAATCCCTGAAGTTGGTATACGATCTCCTCCATCTCGTCAGTGGCGGCGGGCCATGTCGGGTCGGCTCCAGTCCTGGCTGCCAGCGAAAGCAAGCCGGCCAGGGCGGGATATGCGCGGTATCTCATGATCGGCGTATGGGGCGTCTGTGAGGCTTGCGGTAAATCGGATTAACGGTTCAGGACATCAGATCTAGCAATGGTGATATGTACGATAATAACGGTTGAACAGTATGTGCCGGTGAGCGACCAGATCGTCGGAAGGGAAGGCAGCCCAGCTGAAGTGAGTGCTGCAGTTTGACCGTGAAAAGGAACGAGCGATAACCGCTTCGGTTTGAGGCGTCTGCGAGAGAAGGCAGAAAGGAAGAAAAAGTAAGAAAAGGTAGTATCGGGACTGGACTGTATGTATATGCGCCTCGTATTGCTTACACTCGGCGACAACCCGACGCGACGGAAAGTAGGAGACTCGATATGATTGAGAGCGGACCGGACCAGATAGAAGTTGATAGATAACAGACCTCTCTCTTCACTCGAGGAAAGAGACTATTTATTACTCGCGCTCGTCCACGAGTGCGCGTAACGACCTACTTTCACACCTGTGAGAGTGGATCACAAGGCAATGATCGTACAAGCAGACGAGGCTTGAGACAACATACAACATGGGGGCAAGGGTCTATGTCTTGGGAGGAGGGTGGTGAGGATGCGGCCTGGAACCTGGACCCGGGGAATCGCAATGCTGGTTGGGAATTGAATGGCTGACCCCTGCATCAGCTTTCCATTGCATCGTGAACACAGACACACACACAACATCTTCTTTGCCAGGATCTTTATTGGTTCTTGGAAAGGCCTTGTCGCTTCTTGGAGACTTCGTATTATCGCGAACAACGACGACTGCATGGGCGGGCGGGCATGTGCAGCCGAATGGGATTAAGGCGAGTGAGAAGTGCAGAGCTGACTGCTGTGCAAGTTGAACACGAAGGTGGGATAAGGTGGTAGCGGTGGCTCTCCTTTTGCAACCACATCAGTTTTCCTTGTACAGCGGTTGTAAGCGAGAGACAACCACACGTTGTTGATGCTGTAGATAGCTCAACACCATCAACACCACCCACCTCATCGCAACGCCAAGCTCAGCCGAGATGCCGAGCCAAAAGACAGACGACGACGAGAAAACGCCCTCTACGATGGCGGCTGTTGATTGGTCTCACCAGTACTTGGTACTGCCGATAAAGGCAAATTTTTGGTGTGCTCTTTCCAGCCGCATGGCATGGCCCGAAGCGGAGCTGTCCAGATGTCTCGATGTGACCACATGGGGAGCGCCACACAACCACCGATGAGAGCTGTCATGATAGATAGCCCGAGGTGATGGATGGGTGCCAATACCGAAGTTGGATATGTTGACCGGATATCGAACGTTCCTTGACGGGCAAGACAGGGTTATGAATGGGGCAACACTCAAACCCTGAGCTGAGGTGACACTATCGACCGTTAGTGAGACTGAAATGCATAGCGATAATGTAGTCATCAGTGATATCGAAGTGTGTGTGATATGCACAGAAACTCTTTTCTTCACTTTCGGGTCGTCCGAATAGGTCGTAGTCAGGCCTCTTTTCCTCTCTGCTTCTTTGAGGCGCCATCGTTTGTAGTATTCGGGGCGGGGGCTTGCGTGTACCGGTGAACTTGAAAAGCGAGCGTGGTACAGCTTTTACAGAGTTCGGACTTGTTGTTTATCCTGGGCGGTTTATTTATTTATTTCTTTATTTATTTATTTATTTATTTATTTATTTTCTCTTTTGCGTGTGTTGAGCGACACAAGAGGAGGGAGGCGTTGTGAACGGTGAGGTGTTGTGAAGAAAAGGTCGTGAACGGACTATTATTGTCTCACAAACACCACATATCCGGCCTTGGTTTGAGGCTATGGATGTTGTGATAGTTGATTTTCAACCCGGATGGACGCCTTGTCAGCTTGGAAGATGCGGTGCTTGGTGAGGAGGGGAAGACGACAAATGGAAACCCCCGCCCTCACTCACTTGGTGTGGTGCTGAATGTCTACGGTGGGCGACGAAGCGAAAGGTGTAGAAGAGGTCCGTGCACTCTGCTGCCCCTGGCCCAAAGAACATCGGATTGCGGATCCCTTTTCCTCCCCGCATCAGGCGACATCCGTCCCGTTTCTCGTAGGGCTGAAGACATCACTCGTCGACGGGTCGCCCTACATACGTTAATTCTCCTGCTATGAATCCGACTCTGGCTTGTGGCAGAGCCAATTTGTGATAGGAGTCATCTGGAACTCACTGCTACTCCCGCCGAGTTCTCTTCCTCAGGAGCTTCACGGCCTCTTCCCCTCCATCGGAATCCAGAACCTCACGAGATCGACAAAAGCCTCTCATGATGAATCTGGGCTTTCTAGAAGACTGTCGTCACATGCGAGACAAGATCTTCCGCCACCGGTACTTCTAAGCCCACATGGGTTATTGAGGCGCGTTTGGTTAGTAAGTAGCTCTAGAGTGGCTCTAAAGTGGCTTCAAAGTATTGGTGTTACCTACCAGATTCGGGATGCGATTTACGACTTCTTCGATATTGAACCTGCCCAAAAGCCTCATCTTCCTATGACTAGTTATCCAGAAAGTTTTGCTCGTACATGGTGACCATTGACTGGGGCTTTGACCGAGGTTCGGTGATTCCGCGACATGTCTTGTCTGTCTACCACCCACGTCAGCGTTCTTAGTTCGTGTCTCATCATGGGTTTGACAGATAAGCCAAATGATCCAAACACAGGTGAATGATCCGAGGTTTCGAGATCGTTCTTATTCAAGACAAGTTCCCCTCGGTCGTGCCTTCCGAAACCCTTCCTTCCTGGCAAGAACAGGGGAGACCCGCTACCAGCAGACAGCCGGACACATACAAGGAAGGAGCACAAACAGCCAACACAGGCAATATAAGAAAACCTTTAACACCACTTTCCACCGGGAAAACAACCTTACTGGTGTATCGGTTAACATGGCGGATTCTCATTCTAAAGTTTCCGCAGCGCAGGGTTCAACTCCCTGGTAGGGTAGCTCTTTTTTGACACTTTTGTCTTTTTTTTCTTCTTTTTCTTTTCTTTTCTTTCTTTTTTTTGAATGACATCTGCGGCTTTTGTCCTTTTTGACTCCTTTTTGACAGTAGTGCGGACATCATAAACCACATCAGATGAAGGGGTCTTGAAAATATTTGCATTGATTACATCTTTTCGAGGCTTGCAAACCCGGGCAGTTGTAGGCTCGCTCGTTATTAAAACGTCTACACAGTATCTATCTTATATATACCAACTTATGATATCGCCCAACCACACATGGATAATGTGCAAAGACCGACGGTGTCACAGGATTATCTCCCTATATAATGGTGCATCCCGATGTTCGTGGGCAAGCGAACATCGTCCTATCTTTTATAAGGTAGGTTTGGCCGAGCCGGCATTGCACCCTGGTCCTGTCATAGACGGTCCATGTTGTAAATGTGCTCAGTCGACGAACTTGGGACCGAAGTCAGCAATTATTCCGGAAAGTGCCCTAAAAACACCTCCTAAGTAATAGTTCCGCCCAGTTGCATCTTCCATCCCATCCCGGCAACACAAAGGAGACCTGCATGCAAACGAGAACATACCAGGAAGGAACAGCGAACCGCCCATACAATAGAACAATCTCCTACCCTTTTCCAACAAGCAAAAAACTACCTTACTGGTGTATCAGCTAACATGGCGGATTCTCAAATCTAAACGATGAAGTTTCCGCAGCGCAGGGTTCGACTCCCTGGTAGGGTGACATTTTTTGCCTCTTTCTTCTTTAACCGTGATTGCAACAAGCTGATTCCCAATGGGTGCAACTATTCGCATGACAGTTTCCCAACGTCGGTCGGGTAGTTGGTATGTATAAGTTTCATAGTGGGTGATAGACTGAAGAAATACGCACTGAGATGCTTCCCACCGGAATACTCAACCTTTTAACGATAAAAATTCGAGCAAAGGATATTTATGTTTGCTTCCACTCTGCTGAAGCTGTCATCAAGATGTTCAGGCAAGATAAAAGGCTTTGCTTTACCTCAAGGGAGTAGAAGATCTATAAGGTCCTTGATGTATTTTCCTGACCTTCAGATTCTCATGAAGTGCAGAGGTCCAAGAGAAGGGAAAGGGAGCAAAAATTACAAAAAATTACCCTACCAGGGAGTTGAACCCTGCGCTGCGGAAGTTTTGGAAATGAGAATCCGCCATGTTAACCGATACACCAGTAAGGTTATTTTTCTTGTTGAAAAACGAGCTCAAAGGGTTTGCTTATAGAGTACTTGTTGTGTGTGGTTGGGGAGGCGCGGGAGATCGTAAGGTGGAGTTGAACATGCGATGATCATGTTGTGAAGGAAGGAGCGAGACAGTAGGCGGGGATCTGAGATGGGAAGACCACGGTAGGAAGTTACGCAAGCAACTTCACGATGGTCGAAGCGGAGTGCTGACATGTAAGCTGCCATACAAGATGGGGACAGTGTGGAAGGATCACGAGCAAACAGAACACAGCGTCACTTTGTGATGCCAGTGTCTTCGCTCGGAACAAGATGTTATCAGCTCGTATTAGAAACAAGCTAAAACCAATCGAACATCCAACGTTAGAATTCGGTTGAAGGCCCGAGTTGTTGAAGTAACATTACACATTCATGAGTACTACAGCTACTGCTAGGAGACAAGAAAGATAGGAAATGAATCATTAGGGTCATAAATCACTACCATACTTGTACAGAAGCTAGGAATTTCCAAGACGGTCTCAGGATATAGTACAAAACAAGGCAAGGAAAGCGTACATCGTTCATTCGTAACCCATCCATCCAATCCATCCAAAAGCACCCCTAAAAGGGCACCATCATAGGGTATCAAAACTAATTTTCCATCATCAGAAGACAACAAATAAAACCCAAAACCCCAGAAAGACAAACCAAACCAAACCAAACCGGTATACCAAAACACAAGTCTCAATCCCTAATCCTCCTTATCAAAATTCTCCGAAAACCTACTCTCCCTAAACGGACTAATCCTCCCACACCCACTGATACTCATCGCCTGACTTCCGACGCTCAAACCGCCTGAACTAACCGGCCTGCCCTCCCCTGAACCGAAGCCGGAACCAGTACTAGCTCTAGGATCAGCAGCCATCAAGAACTGTGTACGTTGTTGCTGACCCTTCTCCTCAGTGTTAACGCCGGGGGTAGGTTGTGTGATGGCAACGTTCATGACCGGAAAGTTGGCAGAGGGAGGCGTAACGGGACCGTGGCTGGAGAAAGTGCTTCTCGCCTCCAAAAACTCGTCATTTTCGTGGTCCTGGGAGACGCTGCTGTAGATGGAATCGCTAAGGTCGGAGCTGCTTAGGCTGCTGACCGAGTTGGTTTCTCCTGGGATGGTAGGGGTGACGTAGGGGAGGACGAGTTGTGGGTTTTGTGTTTGGGCAGATGGGGACGGAGGACGGTCGCGAACTGTGGGCTCGGTGGTGGTGTTGGTGGTGGTGTAGGTGGTGGTGATGGCAGCTAGAGGCACGGCGTCGAAGCCGCCGATGGCGCTGATGGGGCGGGAGGAAGGTTTCATGGCGGCGGTGCCCAGGGCGTTCGTTGAGTTGTTCTCAGGGACAGTGTTGTTAAAACCGCTGCTCTCACCAGGTTCGTCTTGCGGCAAGTTGATGGCTGGAGTCATTCCAGTTGCTGACTGAACGGGGGTGGGCGCCGAGAGGCCGGCGAGGGCAACTTCGCGGATACTTCCCGGTACACTATGGTCGTCTCCAACGACGGACGGAACACTGTTGTTGTTCTCCTCCAGCTTGCGAGTTAGTGCTACACCACCGATGAAGCCCCTGTTCATATCCTGGTTGGCATTGTCGGCAGTACCATCTGCCGTGGTATCGACCTTCGATGAAGCGACAGATGCGCCGGATGCTGCTCTGGGGCGGGAGGAGAAGCGGTTCTTCAGCCAGGCCTTCACCTTGCTTTTTGGCGAAGCTGTTGCTGATTCCGCTTCCAGGATGGGACTCGCTCCGCCATCTGGAGTTGTCGAGGCCCTCTGAGGAGGCGATACACGTCTTTGGAACGGCATAGACAACCTGCTTAGTCCAGAGCTCTCTGCTCTCGAACGAGTTGATGACGCAAAGGCCGCTGGCTTCTCGTCCGGCGAACTTTGATCCAGGTCAGGGGAAGTGGCAATCTCCTTCCCCTTTCCAGCTTGCTTCTCTTCCTTGGCCTCCTTAGCCAGCCGCTTCTGCTCAGCCTTGGCCGCCTTTTCCTCTTCCTTCCGCAGCTTTTCTTCCCTCTTGACTTCGGCCGCTAAGGCCTTTTCCTTGTCTTTTTGCTGATCTGTCAATCATTAGCTTCTTCAGCTCTGTTATTTTTCCGTGGTGAACGTACCTTTCAACTGCTTATGCAACATAGCTACCTCCCTCTCCCTCATCTTCTGCTTCTCCACCTCCTCCCTCTTCCTGTCTTCCTCCGCCTTGATCGCCGCCCTCCTCTCCCTCTCTCGCTCCGCGTTATCATTAATCTCGTCCAAAAGCGGCTGCACCCTCTTCGCCGCAATTCCCTCCACCGTCGCCCTATCCAGCATCTTCCCTCCGCCAATATCCACCTGGTCCGCATCGAGCGGCCTGCGGCTGTTGCTAGCATCGAACCTCGCCTGCGCCGCCGCCTGCGCCTTCACATCCCAATCGCTCTTGCTTGTATGGGGAATCACCGCCCCCTTCTCTGCCTGCAGCTTCTCGTCCATCCCCTGTAACCGCGCCTTGACGTTGCGTTGAGCGGCTTGTAGAAGCGCCTGGCGATCGCGCTCCCGCTTCTGCTCGTCTACTTCGGCGATCTTGGTGTTGAAAAGAGACATTTGCTTGCGAATGTGCTGGGAGCGTTGGCGGTCGTTGGCTAGTCCTAGTCCCACAATGTCACCATCACTAGAGGATCGGCGCCGGGTGAGCTTGTTGCGGATGCTGCCGAATGCGCCGCCGCCGTTGTTGGTTCCCTGGCCAGCAGCGGCAGCGGTGGAAATGGCGCCTGTGTTGTAGTACTCCTGCATTTCCCGGTTCTTTTGATGTTCGTCGTGCAGCTTGGCAAGACGTTCCTGCGCAAGGCGGTAGGCGGCGTCTTGGAGACTGTTGTACCCAATCCCGGGAGGCCGTTCCACATCGTCGTTGGTGGCTGTCGGGTCGCCGGTTCCGTGGCGCTCAAAGGAGGATCTTCTCTGGAGCATTTCCTTGGACTGCTGGTCAATCATCTTTTGTTGCTGGGTGTACATGCGCTTGGCCATGGCCAAAGCGGACGCGTGGAGGACGTCTTGTCGGTTCTTCTCGTCGACTTCGGGCTTGACGGGGGGTCGGGATGTGAACATCTGTCTGCTCATGGTCGTGTAAGGAACGGCGCCGGCTGAGTCGGTCGAACGGATACTTGGGGAGCGCATTGACTTGGTCGCAGCGCTGAGGGCATTGGCGGTGGCATTTTCTTTGTCGGGGTATGCGGTGTTGTCTACCACAGTTGCTACTGGCTGAGGTTGCGATCTCGATCGCGGCCGTCGTCCGGCCACGGCATCCCTTGCTGCGCGCAGTGATGCCTGTCGAGTCACAACGGTATCCTGTGTCTCTGGGAGAGTCAGGTTAGATGATTTAGGCGACTTTTGTCCTTTGAAAGCCAAGTTAGCAGCCGAGTTGCCCCAGGTTGAGGTATCCACGGCTGGCTTCGGTGTTTGAGATTGTTGCTGTTGCTGCTGCTTCTGTTGGAAAAGCTGTTTTTGCTGTCTCTGAGCTGCTCGTAAAGCCGAAATAGCCGCCTGTGAGTTGTTTCCATTGCTCTTGGGTTGCGAAACATTCAACCCAGTACTACTCGCTGTTGGTGACGCCATCTTTTGGCCGTTAGCCAGCAGCGCAGCGGTATTAGCGTGAGAAGCGTGTTTCTTTGATAGCTCTGCCTTTGGATGTTCAACTGTCCTAGTGTTGTTCCATCCCAGAGTCGCGGCTGAAGAAGCAGGAGCCGTTGATATCTCGGGTTTTGGGTATTCGACAGATTTCCTGTTATTCCATCCCAAGGTTGCGGCGGCACTGGCTGCGTCTTTGTTTGGGAGACCGGAAGACGGGTAGCTGGGTAGATCTTTGGCGTCTGCGTATCGTAACCTTCCAGTGTTGTCTTTTAAGGAGGTCAGTAAGTATCACTGGTGATTCTTTTGGAGTATTTCAGATTGTAAGATGGATGTTAAGACAGGGTATCCCGAGTGTGTATGCTCAACTGACATGCACCACCTGATGAACGCGCGGACACTTACTTGGGGGGACGAGCGCTGTTTGCGTAACCGCAGTAGTGGAAGCCATGGTTGATGTATGGCTATTAGAACCAAGACCAAGGCTCAAACGAAACTGAAGAGTCAAAAGATCTGACCGGCCCGGCCGTCGGATGTCGGGAAGTGTGGAGCAACCAGTCGGACCCGACGATGATGGTCCACAGCGGATTGAGGCTGTGAAGTCTTTCCCAGAATCCTATAGGTCCTTGTTGTTTGAAGGTGTTATGTTTGGTTTCTGTTTTCTACTTTGACGATTGGTTTTGTGAGATGATGTGTTGCGTGTTAAGAGTAACCTCAAGCTGTAGGTCTTCAGTACAGTAAACGTTGTTAACAACAAGAAATGTCGATCAGGTTGTCTAGGCCTTTTTGTTTATGAGAAACAAATCAAGATTTACGCCAGTGTGGGTGTTGGAAACTGGGCGGCGTAGAATATTATTTTTTGGTTCCCGTTGGTTAGTTTGAAGATGGGATGACAGAAAAGGGAG